CTTTCAAAATCATTCTCTTCACTTTAACCGTCAGTTTTACTAAGTCACAAATGTCGCTTTCAAGATAATTTACATTTAACCAACCAAATTCACTTCAAATAATCTCTTCGAGTAAAATCAATAAAGCATCAAAAGTAACAACATTATCATGTTATACTTTAACCAACAAAAAGCCAAGGATTGAAAGTATGGCAGACGCAAAATCTGTTGTTTACCTTCTTATTACATAGCAAACACTGCGTCTTCATTTGTACTCAATTCAGTAACCGCAGTTAATAATGAAATTAGCAACCAACGGTACAAGGTTTTCAAAAAATTTCTCCTTTAACTGAAAAATTAATTAGATTTGTAAATATTGAGCCTTATGACATTTGTAAATAAATGACGAAAAAAATTGAAGTAAAATAAATATAGCTGGTTTCCAAGAAAGCAAAAGACAATGTTTTGCTTACAGTAGTCTAAGTTCAGCAACTGAAAAATGAGAAACTAAAAACATAGCCAACATAGTCAATGAAAGCAACGAAAAAAATAAATGTCCTTAACAATCTTTGGAATTCTAGAACAATTCCTGATTTTTTCAATCGTTTTAAACCTGAATTTGGTTTGAGTAATCTTAAACTCCCAAGGAGTTCCCTTTCCTTTTTTCAGTCTACATGAGAGCATTAAAATTTAAATTATCAAACATTAAGATTAATCAAGATAAATCTAGCTTTGATTTAGAGGTCAATGTAGGCACTCAGACAATGGTTAAAAGTGTTCACATGCTTGAATTATGTTGGCGTGACCTGACTGTTCGCTTTACGCTTTCAATCAAGCAAAAGCACGGTTTAGACCAAAGCGGACTATTATTTTACTGTAAATAAAGCAAATCTTTTATTTACTCTCGTGTTTTGTTTTTGATAAAGGCATTCGAGAAGATGAAGTTGGTTCACTATTATGTCTACTCTTTTATGGCAAAGTAATAAACGCTCAAGTATCAGATTCAAGATGGCGTACAAATGGCTGGCAACTATGCATAACGGCGGATGTTCAACAAGCCGCCATATTTAGAAACCGTCATATCTTTAGATGGAATTACATCAGAATTAAGTAATACTTGCATAATAACAGTGACAATGTGTTTCTATGCTGCATAACATTAATTTTCGGCTTATTGGAATAGTTATCTTATTTTCGAGTGGTTGGCCTTTCGGCTTGTTGGTCTACCACCATGCTAAACAAACTAGCGGGTTGTCGTAATTACGAGTAAGATGCGAGTTCTTTCATTAAGCAAAAGCTCAAAGCGAACGAATTATCGAATAGATTTTGCAAACATTAGATAGTGCGAAACATATATTACAAGTTTTAGAAACAGAGTCAAGCTTCGCTTCGCAAACACTAGCGCGAACACGACAAAAAAGCAGCTTTATCAAGCCGAATAAGAAAAAGTAGAAATAAGCCTCGAATTAGCAAGAAATTCGGCTACGCCTAAGATTCGAACCCGCGACCTAGAAATTATCACACCCTAGCCACTCAGATATGGAAGCTTAATAGGCAATAGCACACACTAATCAGAAATAAAGCAGAGAACAGATGCTATGCAATTTCCAATGCTACATTGAAATTTCCGATTAAGTGAACACTTTTTATGAACCCTTTTATTTGCAAGTTAGGTTAGAAAAAAAGAAGGTTCAAAACAATACACTAAGCTGACAATAGTGTAATATTGGTAAAAATATTCATGCCTCTAAGAATTTAAACACAACTTCCAAAACAAAAACTAAAAATAAGTTTCAAAACTCAATTAAACTGAGGCGAGGTAGCAACTTTTCTTGGAGGAAAAACGTAAGCACCTCGTGAGCGCAAAAAAGCTACTTAACAGGAACATGTACCTACTAGCAACTAGGGAAAAAACATCACCAACAAACAGCTGGAAAATGTGCCAACAGCTGGAAAGCTTGTCAACAAACAGAAAAAAATTTGAACTTTAACTTTCGAAAATTGAAGAAAAAAATATCACGATGAAGCTCACTAAATTTCAAAAAATTACAATCAAAAATTTTTCCATTAAACTAGACCATTGAGAGAATTGTGGATCAACCGTTTGTTATTCCGCTGATTATTGCTAAAAAGGGGAGTGGAAAAGACCCAGATAAAATTCTGTAACATCGTTTTTTAAGACTTTTCCCTGAAAAGGAAACAAAAATCATCACGACCTATGTAAGTATCTTCACTGCGTTCATTGACACTTATAAATTTTAGACAGCTAGAGCCCAGGAATTTGAGGCCAAAAAATAATAAAACTTTTGATAGTGTTTTATCTAGCATTTTCCTTTTCTAGCAGTTTTATCGCAGTTCGGTTTTTAAATTGACAATTTAGGTACTCAGAGGCGAATCACAGCTTCACATGGCTTGCGAGTTGCGATACAGACACACATACGCGAATAGCCTAGTCAAAGACCCAGCAGAACTGGAGTAGACGATATGATAATGCTACTCGGAGTAAAACAAATAGTAAAGCTCTGATTTGAATAAAAACTACTTGAAATGAATTTCAAAAAACAATTTCAAATGAATTACAAATAAATTGCCAGGAAGGTATTCAAATTTGACATCTCGCAAAATCGAGTATGTAAAAACTGATGCAGCAGGAATGTCAAGAAAAGTTACTTTAATTACAGATGGGGAAAATTTTCAATCCGAGAACTGTACAAAAGTCTAATAACAGTAGCTTTGGTAGAGGCAGTAAGCTATCTGTGGTATTTTTTTCCATGATGTAAGAATAAATTACAAACTTGAAGAGCAAAAAAATATATATTTATTGAACACAGAAGAGAAGCTGCACTTTGCGCAAGCATAAATGAGAATATGGTATAAAAAGCGCTAAAAGGGTCAGAATGTGAAAAAAAAAAGATTAAACTAATAAACTTTCATAAACCCTAATCAAACCCCGACCTCGAGATGTGACCTCCAAAGCTGTGACCTCGAGATTTTGTACCTCAAGTTCTCGCAACTGCGCCAGGGGAAAGAATGCTATCATTAGCCAACAATGATGCAGCTACAGATGCTAATAAATTGTCAATGCTATGCGGCAAAAATTCCACCAAATATAAATTAAACTAGTGATAAGTGTACATCAGAAGTCTTAAGTCTTTCCATATGTGCCGCGCTCGCTTTACGATCCGCAAACACTGGTCACAAATGAAGCAGAGAGCAGATGATACAAAAAATCTAACGCTACAGATCGTCATAATAGCAAAAGTGCCACCAATTGAGCATTTTTTTACTTTGGAAAAAAGTAGTCTATTTAATACCAGTTTTGACTAAATTTCGAAAAATGGTCTTAAAGATCCTTGAATTTCAAGAGCAATTTATGATTGACTTTTTTAGACCCAATTTGAGAAAGCTGGATCAAAAGGTAAACTTTTTTCTTTGGGATACCTGAAAAACACAATCTCTTTCGTTACTAGAAGTTTCAAAGGTAATTCTATTATTTTGCTGGGAAATCTGATCATTAAAAACCATTTTAGAAAAAAAAAGTCGACCACATTTTCCGTGACCCTTAAACTTTTGCAGTGCGATAGTGGAATTTGCCTTCTTTTTGACAAAGGAAAAGAACTGAACTTATAAAGAAAACAAAAGTCAAACCCTATACAAATTTTTCCTGAAAACGAAAAAAAAAAGAAATTTGTATGATTAACCTTTTTGGCCACACCGGGAATTTTTTAAACGGCACCAAAATTACCCTAAAATTTCTTCGTTTTATTTTTAAGCGCAACATTAAGTTTAGACTCAAAGCAACGTTCCCAATAAACTTTCTTTCATCAAAAAAATTACTTTTTGTGCGCATAACGTAGTCCTGAATACACAAAAGAATGTTGCATTATAAATGTATTTATTTAATGACTTACTCAAAATTTCAAACTCGAAAAAATTAAAATCTTTGAAAATTTTCGCCAAAATTAATATGTTTTTATTTTCAGAATTTTGTTGGAGTAAGACATCTATGTTTCGGCCGTTTCTAATACATTGAACATGCGAGCCTTTAAACATCAGGACGATTTAAACATCAGGACGATTTAAACATCGGAACATGCGAAACTTTTAAACATCAAGCTTTTTGTGAAAAGGGTCTTTGTCACTAGAGCTGGGCAATTCCTAGAGCTAGGAAGAAACTAGAAGTAAAAAAAATTGATTTAAAAATAAAGGCTTATCAAGCACTTACCATTTATGAAAAAAAACACTAAACAAAAACCTTTCAATATATTTTCTTATGGAATTGCATAATAATTGCTCCATTGTAGCATTTTCCATAGTACATTATAGTCAACCTTGGGATACAATGTTATGCAGTAACAGTAAGTCAGATGAAATTCTATTGCTGCAAAAGAGCCACCAAATAAAGGAATACTTTTATTTGCCATAGGTTGGAAAAACTGGATTTCGTAATCTGACACTACGCTCACTAGTTTTCTCTTAAAGAAAACACGGCCAATCGAATACTGGAAAAGAGTAGAGAGCGCAAGTAAACATTAAAAAAAAACACTGAATTTCTTGCAAAAATCTCAATTCGAATTGCAAAGAAAAAATAGATGCCTTTTAGGCTCTTTGAATTTCTAGAACAATTTATGATTGCCGCTTTTTTGATAACATGAACCCAACTTGAGAAAACTGGATCAACAGGAAAACTGGATGCGCTGGGGAAATCTTAAAAATAAATTCCGCTTTCGAAACTAGAAATCGTTCACGTTTTTTTTTGCGCCATTTCCACGTTCGTATTTGGAGAGTGCTACTTACGTCACTTTCAGCAGATGAATTTCAATTGAACTCAAAAAGTGCGTTATACCTAGGTGCATCAAATTTTTAAGACTTTTTCCTGAAAAAAAAATCAGCAAGACCTATATAAGTCTTCACTACGCTTATTACTCTTAAAAATTAAATCTAAGGGTCGTTTATTTCGAATCAGTTCAAATCCTTATCCGAAGTAACTATTATCTGAAAAAATATGTAAATGATCTAACCTAGGCACGCAAACGCGAGCAGCAAGTAAGGTTTGAACGTCATACAGTTCTTGAAACTCCTCAACATGCCTATCTTTACACGATTTAAACATCAGGACGATTTAAACATCGGAACATGCGAAACTTTTAAACATCAAGCTTTTAGTGAAAAGGGTCTTTGTCACTAGAGCTGGGCAATTCCTAGAGCTAGGAAGAAATTAGAAGTAAAAAAAATTGATTTAAAAATAAAGGCTTATCAAGCAATTACCATTTATGAAAAAAAAAAACACTAAACATAAACCTTTCAATATATTTTCTTATGGAATTGCATAATAATTGCTCCATTGTAGCATTTTCCATAATACATTATAGTCAACTTTGGGATACAATGTTATGCAGTAACAGTAAGTCAGATGAAATTCTATTGCTGCAAAAGAGCCACCAAATAAAGGAATACTTTTATTTGCCATAGGTTGGAAAAACTGGATTTCGTAATCTGACACTACGCTCACTAGTTTTCTCTTAAAGAAAACACGGCCAATCGAATACTGGAAAAGAGTAGAGAGCGCAAGTAAACATTAAAAAAAAACACTGAATTTCTTGCAAAAATCTCAATTCGAATTGCAAAGAAAAAATAGATGCCTTTTAGGCTCTTTGAATTTCTAGAACAATTTATGATTGCCGCTTTTTTGATAACATGAACCCAACTTGAGAAAACTGGATCAACAGGAAAACTGGATGCGCTGGGGAAATCTTAAAAATAAATTCCGCTTTTGAAACTAGAAATCGTTCACGTTTTTTTGCGCCATTTCCACGTTCGTATTTGGAGAGTGCTACTTACGTCACTTTCAGCAGATGAATTTCAATTGAACTCAAAAAGTGCGTTATACCTAGGTGCATCAAATTTTTAAGACTTTTTCCTGAAAAAAAAATCAGCAAGACCTATATAAGTCTTCACTACGCTTATTACTCTTGAAAATTAAATCTAAGGGTCGTTTATTTCGAATCAGTTCAAATCCTTATCCGAAGTAACTATTATCTGAAGAAATATGTAAATGATCTAACCTAGGTACGCAAACGCGAGCAGCAAGTAAGGTTTGAACGTCATACAGTTCTTGAAACTCCTCAACATGCCTATCTTTACACGATTTAAACATCAGGACGATTTAAACATCGGAACATGCGAAACTTTTAAACATCAAGCTTTTAGTGAAAAGGGTCTTTGTCACTAGAGCTGGGCAATTACTAGAGCTAGGAAGAAATTAGAAGTGAAAAAATTGATTTAAAAATAAAGGCTTATCAAGCAATTACCATTTATGAAAAAAAAATAGTACATTATAGTCAACCTTGGGATACAATGTTATGCAGTAACAGTAAGTCAGATGAAATTCTATTGCTGCAAAAGAGCCACCAAATAAAGGAATACTTTTATTTGCCATAGGTTGGAAAAACTGGATTTCGTAATCTGACACTACGCTCACTAGTTTTCTCTTAAAGAAAACACGGCCAATCGAATACTGGAAAAGAGTAGAGAGCGCAAGTAAACATTAAAAAAAAACACTGAATTTCTTGCAAAAATCTCAATTCGAATTGCAAAGAAAAAATAGATGCCTTTTAGGCTCTTTGAATTTCTAGAACAATTTATGATTGCCGCTTTTTTGATAACATGAACCCAACTTGAGAAAACTGGATCAACAGGAAAACTGGATCCGCTGGGGAAATCTTAAAAATAAATTCCACTTTCGAAACAAGAAATCGTTCACGTTTTTTGCGCCATTTCCACGTTCGTATTTGGAGAGTGCTACTTACGTCACTTTCAGCAAATGAATTTCAATTGAACTCAAAAGTGCATTATACCAAGGTGTATCAATATTTTAAGACTTTTTCCTGAAAAAAAAACAGCAAGACCTACGTTCACTACGTTCATTACTCTTAAATATAAGGGTCGTTTATTTCGAATCAGTTCAAATCCTTATCCGAAGTAACTATTATCTGAAGAAATATGTAAATGATCTAACCTAGGTACGCAAACGCGAGCAGCAAGTAAGGTTTGAACGTCATACAGTTCTTGAAACTCCTCAACATGCCTATCTTAGCATCTATGTGGATGTCAGTGTTCTCCATGCTGCCGAAGAAACAGTAGAGTCCGCTGATTAGGATGATGAGGGACCCCACTGCCCCTTGCATCATAAATGTCTGTCGGTACCTGCCCACTGTTTCAGGTCCCACCAAGGAGTTCGTTAGGAGGCAATTGCTCTATAAACATAAGAATACTATTGTTCAAAACAACGGCATTTATACGCAAATTTTAATATGATAGTAACATCAGTCGCTAGGGACCCATAAAAACATAAATTCGGTGATAGTTGCTCTGAAAACAGATCTCTGCTTAACTTAAGAAAACCGGCACTGGGAGGAAATTCCGTCTCAATTGACATTTCAAAATTTGGATGTACTTTATCATCTCCCCCCAATGGCGTCACCTTTAGAACCTCCACCTCTCTTAAAAAACAGTAAATTAACTATAAAAATTTCTATTAAAAATTCAAGTTTGCAGCATTCTGATTGGTCAAATTGGTTAAATATTTGTCTATTTTATCAACTTAACAATCTACACCTCTTTCACGAAAAAGGATTCCAAGTTTTATACAAAAAATCCCAAAATTTTACATTTTTATGCACAACTGAATGCTCCTTAAATATGAGTTTAAGAAAAATGTTTACAGACAAAGCAAAGAATTAATCGAGAAAAGATAAACAAAGACCACATTCGAAGCCTTCGCTTTAATGAATGTTGATATGAGAAAACTCAATTTAACGCTAAACACTTGGTGTCAAAAGTAGTATGGAGACAGAATATATGCCCGAATCTCATTAAAATTTCTGGTTCTTCTGTAACAAAAAAAACCATGTCAGATACCGATTTGAATTGTCGTTTAAATTGTGACCAATTGCATCTCACGCACCATCACTGCTGTATACTATAATGAAATCGATCGACCACATAGCTAAGTAAGTAACAATAGCATCTACTATCTGCTCAAAAACCGGGATTGATCATATTTCGATTCCTAATGATTGACAATCACCTGTAGCCTGATAATCTAAAAATTAGCATCATGAAAGAACCACTTACATTTTCTAAGGATCCACTGTCTGTAATCAGCTCTGAGAACCTGACCACAAAAAGGGAAAGCACTGCGAACACAGCCTCGCCGACCAATCGGAAGGAAGTAGCCGCGTCTCTTTCACTTTCATCTGTGCTCTGGTACATGACAAGAGAGCAAAACGGTATACTATACATAGTAAAGGCCATTTGGAGGACGGTGTAGACTATCATGTAGTAGATGAAGACCATTACTTGATCGGTGAGGAACGGAGGCACCCACCAGAGAAAGAAAAAGCTCAGAATAGAGATGGGTAGAGAGAATAACATCCATTTACGCAGAGAGCCACCCTTTTCTTGCGTTTTGTTTACAATAGCACCAACTGTTGGATCTACATAAAAAACAAGAACAAAAAAAGTTTATGTGAAATTTTGTACAAGTAACCTGAATTTGACTTACACTTGCTTCTTGGAATTTGTTTCAATTTGCTAATAAAGTAGTCTATCTAGTTCCTTCTTCATGGTCGATGATAATAATTCGAGGTTTGCGAGCATTTCTATTAAGATTCACGCAACCATTCCCCCCAGAGTCTCGAAGGCGACTGGTTGGACTATGTGGGACGAGACCAACCCGGCATATAGAGGACAAAAAGCGCACCAAATATGCCGGGTTGGTCTCGTCCCACATAGTCCAACCAGTCGCCTTCGAGACTCTGGGGGGAATGGGGACTGACACTCTTCGATATATCACAAGTCTAGGAAAAAAGATCACACAGGCGACTGATGAGCTTAGAGCAACCGTTTTTTTACGCCACAGACTTGGAATCGCGATCCAGAGAGGTACGGCTGCATGTCTCCGAGAAACTTTGCAATGCGACCCAGAAGACCCTATTGGAACTGATTTTAGACGATGATTGAATCAATTTTCGTTATTGTTTAAACTCTATACTAATGCCTTGACTATTCTGTATAGTAATTAAAGTGTTTCTTCGGAAAAAAAAACAATCATACCTGAAACAGCGTCTAATATCCGAGCAACCACAATAATCGTAGTAGCATACATTGGAAGCACACGAGCAACGTCAAGTAAAAACATTTGAATGTAAACAGTAGTTGTAATCAAAGGCAACGTAATAGGACCAGCTCCAACAGCAAGGGCGAATTTGTGTCCAAACGTTAAGTGACCTCCCTTCTCCGGCATGCCTGACATTATTTTTTGAACACGTACACTGCGCCTTCTCACACATGGCTTTTCAGGGGTGACAGTCGCTACATCTCCCAGACTAGTCATTTCAATCACGGTTTTGGGAATGGATACGATTTCTTCGCCGATGCAGCATCAGATCTGAAAAAAAAACATATGCTCAATAAAAAAGCTTAGCTGAGATCTAGTTTTGAAGGCTGGCAAGAGGCTCGCTTCTGATCTGTCCTGTGGAGGTGTCATGGCTCTATAACGGAGTATTATGAGTGGAGGCGAAACTTTGCTTGATAAGGACATTCAAATTTGAATGCTTAGAGAATCTCCTTACACTTTTGAGACAAGATAGGCCATGCCATCCATTGTGACATCCGACCAGAATGTACGAAAATGCAGTTTCGCATTCGAATTTTTATGGAGCAGAAAAAGAGCAGCTAACCTGGAAGATTGATGGTTTTAACAGATTAGTGACATTACTTGAACGATTAGACAAATCGGGAAGGGTTGGTGTTGACTGACATGTCAATTTTAAAAAATTCGAATTAAGACGTCACATTTCTGAGAAATGTTAAAGAGGCCATTTTGGGACAGAAAACGGAAGAAAAACAGAACAATAGTTGCAGTGAAAAACAACTACGGGAAAATAACGACAGATAGATCTGGGAATTGTCAGAAACCGCTCCGAGTTGTAACGATTGTGCCGCTACAATCGTTACCGAGCAATTCACACGAACGAGGAAGGGTATTGGGACGACGTGTCCAGCCTTCAGGAAAAAAATAGGAGTTCTATTTCCCCGGATTCCAGAATCCGGAGGGGTCACGGGCCCAGAACTCAAACTGTTTTATATAAACTTTTAGCTGCCTGGTCATGTCCTGAGTTGAATTTAATTAACATCCCGATTCATTTTCAGAGAATGAGAAGCTAGGAGTGAGGGAAAGGGTTGATCCATCTTCGATAGAGATGATGATTTTGATCTACTGAGCAAAAACAATAATAAAATAATAAATAGTAGTAGCCCTGTTTTTGGGAGTGACCTCGTGGTCTGGGGATTCTCAGACCCAGCCATGAGCTCACTATTCTTGCATATAATTAAGTTAATTTGAGTGTTTTGACCGAAGCCGGAAACAGTAACGTTTTTGTCGACCCGATTTTAGAAAGGCCACCAAAAAGAACTGGCTTTGGCAGAGACGGTGAAAAGCACGTAGAGCTGTGTTTAGACGCTAGCCAGTCGTTTTAGAACCTAGCTTTATTTTCCGTCGATATGTACTTCCGGGCGAATGTTACACATCTTCAGTTACAAGTTTTCCGCAAACGTTTCTATGTTATTCACAGAAAACTGAACCCATGCGGAGTCTAATTGCAATTCTAAGCTGCTGATTTGACAGTTTAAATTTTGGATTTATATACGGTATGACATTTAACTATTGCAATCCGAACTTATCCTGGTGAGCCTTGAACCTTTTTACATCAGTAGGTTCGGGTTTCAACTTAATTTGAGAAGATTCTTTATCAAAAAAGGGATCTGTAAAACTCGCCCGGAAGTACATATTGACGGAAAAAAAGCAAGATTGTGAAACGATTGGCTAGCGTCTAACCACCGCTCTATTTGCTTTTAACCGTCTTTGCCAAAGCCAGTTGTTGGTGTCGTCCTTTTAACATCGAGTCGAAAAAATCGTTACTGTTTCAGGCTATCGGCCAGAACGCTCAGATTAACTTAGTTACGTGCAGAAATAGTGAGCTCATGGCTGTGTCTAAATATCCACAGTCACTCCTAAAATTGGGCTACTACTTATTTTTTATATTACTTTTGTTTATGTTCAGTAGATAAAAATCATCATAGAAATTTTTGCTAAAAACTAAATTTCAAACGTTTTCGCAACTCTGTGCATCGTCAGGATTTTTACAATAAACTAATCTAAATGACAATAAACCCTCATCTTAAAAATGTTATTCACCATAAATCACATTCATTTTGGTTCTAAACCATCATAATAAAAAATGCCAATCACAGTTGACCTCTAAATTACTATTAAGATTAAAATACTTTCAAACTCTAAAATAAAATAAACAGACTTAAAATAATTTGTCTGGAAGTTTCTGAGTCGTAATTTCAATTTAGACATGTATGTTTTAAGTAAAAAACCAAAAATAATTTGGGACCAAATTTTCAGTGTTATCTCCCTGCTCCTAAACTCATCGCGTGTGTTCAAGCCCGTTTCTCTTTCCTTATATGTATTGCCTCTAGTGTTAACAATTTCGTTTGGTTGTTTGACCTATCTATAATTTCCCAACTAAGATCAGCGCTATTTTCCTCAAGTTGACATTGCTGGAGTTGGAGGCCTACCGGTGAGTCTGTTTTCTTATGTCCTCACTTCTAGTGGTGAAATGTCGAACAGTTTGTCCGACATAGGTGGAAGTGCATCCACTACATGACAGTTGATAAACCACTCTTGACGTGATGTCATTAGAAAATGCTGACTTCAGTGATGGTAAACACGACTCTAGTTTTCTTGTGGTGAAAACCACTTGAACGTTAGTTAATTTTTGTAACTTGTTTCCAAAATATTGTCTCTGGTAACCTCTATATTGCACCATCAGCATTTTGGGGCTTCACATCCTTTGGTGATTGAGTTGACAAACACCTCTCACTAACCAGGGGCTTGCCGTCACCCTCGATGATTTTGCACAAGGCGTCTGAAGCCACCTTTGCGGACCATTTTTCAGGGTACTGATTTGTCAACTATTGCATCCTATTAGTTTCCATAGCCTTATCAAATTGCCCCCAGCTAGATGTACTCCCAAAAAACCTTTTGTACAGTGCCTTGGATAACACTACGCTTATACTGAGTTGGTTAGCAGCTTCTATAGTTCAGTATAGTCCCTGTATTTTTTGGTTTTTGATACCAAATGCAAGTTACACCCCGACCCTGCGATACATTTATGTTCAAATCCAGGAACTGCAAATTCCCCTCCGAATTAGTTTTCTCTAGAGCGAATTATTTGGATGAAGAGAATTGGCGGCATCGAGAAGACAACTCGGCTCCCCTCTGACTGTTCTAACAATGTCATCCACATACCTGAGGAACAATTTTACCTGGGGAGTATCTTCTCCTTGTTCTTAGCGCGGCAGCAGCTTTTACAGTACCAGACTATCTCGGTTAATGATGCGTATTCGTCATCGGGTGTTATTCCGAATTTTATATGATACCAGTTCTGGCATCTCTCGCATTCAACCCCCCTTTGATCTATATGTGATTTTCCAGCTGCAACATGGGCACGAGCCGTTTTTGTCATTAATTTGCTTTCCCACCGGTATTTCCTGTCTTAGAGCAAAATCGTACTTTTCAGCCATAAGTTTGCCAGAATTAACGCGAGGGACGCACCCATTGCTAAACCATCAACTTGTACATAGCATGAGTCATTACACTTGAAATATACTTTACTGACCGCCAGATTCAAAAGCCTTTTCATGGTTGCTCTTTGAATTTCAGGAGGAGACTCCTGGCTGTACAGCTTCTGTAAAGCAATTTCAATTGCCTCCTTCAGGGGAACGTTGGTGTACAAACTTTTCAAATCAAGAGATATTATGGTTTCATTCGGATCCAGGGCAATGTTATCATTTGTTTCTTTGGCCTGTTTAATATTGATTTCTATATTGGCTCCATCGATGTTGTCAAAAAACTTTGCGAGCATTTTGTTAAAATTTTTATACGAGCTACCTGGAAGTGATAGTACTGATCGTAGGGATGTCTCAGCCTTGTGTACCTTAGCTAAACCGTACAAACGAGCGGGTTGCCCCCCTGTTGACCTCACCTTAGAACATAACTGATCACTTATCTCGTCTCCTTTGTTCATGGCTATTAATTCTTTGTTAAGTTCCTTCTCAATTTTCAATATAACCTCATCAGTGATTGCATCTTTTGTCACAAACGGAGCAGATTGCAACAAGGATTCCAGCTTTGACTCATACGTTTGTTTCCTCATTATGCAACAACCAACCCCCTTACCAAAAGGCATAGCCAGCAACCCTTTATCTTTGAGATATTTCCTCGTTTTTTCAACGGCTTTGTCTTTTGGGGTTTGCCTTACGTTTTTTGCATATGCTTTTGCCGCGGCTTCTATTGCACATAACGTTTCACCAAATGTTTTTTGATTTTTCAATTGCGAGAGGAAAATGTCGATATCCGCCAAAAAGTATGTTTCGTTAATTTTGTCTCTAATGGGATGCTTCGGGCCCATTGATAGCACTTCATATACCCATCCAGGCAGTTCAATGTTATCAAGTACCATAACTGATCGCTCGTTTCTCCCCGCAAGAGGTTTATCTTGTCTCTCGGTCAGTTTTTCTAACTTTTTTCTATGTTTTTTTGATGTTGTCTTCAAGCTTGCCTCAACTTGACGCCTCACGAAGCGGAAAATGGATGACCACCACTGTTCGTAAATTTCTTTTTGCACCAGTGATCATGCTTTCACTAGCATCTCCTCGTACCTTTTCCTATCCTCATTTGCCCTAGAAGTTTCAGTCCTTAGTAGTTTCAATTGAAAGTTATGCACAGCTTAATCCGAAAAAAAACCGTTCTCGGGGACCCTAAACTTCGAAAAGTCCGGTATTAGATCGTTTTTCAGACATTTTTTCAGAAACTTCAGTCCATGTACAGATACTTTTAGAGACCGGGCTAAGAAGAAGGGAGGAATCGTTGATGGACCAAAGGTGAATTGCCCCTCTCCAGCAGATCCAACTCAAGGAAATTTATATGCTTTGGAAAAGGCCAATCAATTACAGACCTCTCAAGGAGCTGGGAAGTCCAGGCCTCATAAGGGAGCCACCCAAGCATCGGACTAGTAAAGCCAGGATCAGAGTGGCGATCCCCGCGCAGCTTAGGGTGGTGGAAAAGGGACTTCCTGATACAGCCTACATGGGTGCGAAACTTGCGGAGGACCCAAGGTACTGGAGATCCTGTGGAACTTCACGGCTGGCCAAGAAGTTAGCAGTTTATGATCGGTCGGATCCTGGAGCGGCAAGAGCGATCATTGTAGCGGGGTCGGACTTTGAGGGGACGTCACCGAAGTTGTTTTGGCCAGAAAACTTGGTGTACCTACTACCAGGGGCGCAGTTGAATCAAATGTTGACCCTGATCGTAG